TATTTCTAATGGTAGATATAATTCATGGCACATTTAATTAACGATATTTTTATTTCCCATTTTAAATAATTCATGACACATTTAAGTAATAATTTATCTTTATATTTCTCATTTTAAACAATTCATGACACATTTAATTAATTAATTATTGGTGTATTTATTTATTTAATTTTGGCACTCTTAGCCCTCCATATGACTGGATTATCATGATCATTTGGGCAAAGTGTGAAGCAATCAGTCTGATTGCTGGAAACATATAAATACTGCAGTCACACACTTGCGTAATGCTGCATAACGGATTTTTTTAATCTCACGTACTGTCCTGTTTGCTGCGCTCACAGCGATAACAGGATTTCCAAAGTGTTGCCACTTTTTTGTCACTCTATCGCTTTGACAAACAAAATGTTTTTTCTAGTCTCTACCTCACCCACAAGCACCTCGATTTCTGTTTCAGAGAAGTTTCTTTTCTTGCACTTCCTACCATTTGCCACCATAAGTATATCGGGCTTAAATTGTATACATCAATATTCATGAGGCGTTTTGTATTGACCATTTGTGGTTGGATGTGGGTGTGTAGAGAGCAGAATATGAGGCTAATCTACGTGCACACAATTCCAGGTCGAGTGTGATTTATAAAGACAACATTGCTTGTTGTCTTTCCAAGTGTGTGTACGCACGGTTTTATAAATCTGACTTTTTTGCATACGCCATTTTCAGCTTTTAAAAATAATAATAATAATAATACATTTTATTTTAAAGGCGCCTTTCAGAACACACAAGGACACCATACAGAATTATACAACGAAGAACAATCAGAATAAAAAAAACTAATTACAAAAACTAAAACAGTATAAAAAGCTAAAAGAATTCACAGAGAATAGGCACTTTTAAACAGATGTGTTTTTAGTTTGGATTTAAAAAGAGAAAAGGAATTTATATTATCTTTCGGTAAGGAGTTCCAGAGTCGTGGAGCAGAGCAACAGAATGCCCTGCTCCCCATAGTGAAAAGGCGGGCAGAAGGGACGATGAGAAGAATAGAGGAGGAAGACCTGAGGGAACGAGAGGGAGTAGCAATGTGAATAAGATCAGACAGGTATGGAGGAGCGAGGTTGTGGATGTCCTTTAACGTATAGAGGAGGATTTTGAAATTAATGCATAAATGTACCGGGAGCCAGTGCAGCTGCTGCAGGACAGGGGTGATATGGTGTATAGAAGGGGTTTTAGAAATAATACGAGCAGCAGAATTTTTAAGTAATTGAAGCTTATGGAGGGATTTGTTGGTCAGACCAAACGGAAGGGAATTGCAGTAGTCCAGTCGTGAAGTGACTAAACTGTGAACAAGGATAGCGGTGGTATAGGGGGTGAGGGAAGGACAGAGACGATTAATATTACGGAGATGGAAATATGTGGACCGAGTGATATTGTTAATATGAGATTGAAAGGATAATGTGCTATCGAGAACGACACCCAGACTCAACCTGAGGGGAGGGGGAGACACAAGAGTTATCGATTGTGATTGAAAAAGTGTCAGCTTTAGAAATTGTTGATTTGGTACCAATCAGAAGAAATTCTGCTTTTTCACTGTTAAGTTTGAGGAAATTAGAAGAAAACCAAGATTTTAACTCATCAATGCAATCAGGAAGGGAAGAAGGTGGAAGAGGGAATTGTCTTTTGTGCGTATGTATACTTTCAGTATGAGTCCTACACACTGTTTTATAAATGAGAACACTAGGGGCAATTACAGCAAAATGACAGGACGAAGTTTATAAAGATTCCCTTGATTCCAGAATGAGATATTGGACAAGCTGGTGTCCACATACTTTTGTCCATATAGTATGTGTGTGTAATTAAGACCTTTGTGAACAAGTGTTTGTGAACAACTTTTGGGGGTTTGTGAGAATGAGTTGGTGCTGACAGGAGCAAGAACAGCAAGAAAAGACTTGCTGTTGCTGACAGCCCATAAGGGAGGGTCCATCTCTCCAGAACATTCCATTCCTCATATTAATATAGACACTGCTGTTCATATGGTCACAAGTGATGTTGTACAGAATATTAAAAAGGCATTTTCTAGAGGCAAACGATCCCCTAAAATAGATCATTTCTATAAGGCCAAATGAGTACAACACAGTCCCAATCAAAAGTTTGGACATACATACCTTTGTATGAATGAGAATGATAGTGTCGCATCACATGACCTGGCCACCTGACATATACACAGTAGAGATGGTTTTGGAAGAGTTTGACCGGAGAGTGAAGAAATTGAACTGGCAACCTTCTGAGTCCCAACCCACAGAGCTGCGCCCCAAACAAATTAATTTGCATAATTCCATATATGTTATAGTTTTTATGACAAATAAACCTTTCTATGGGTAGTCTGTCCAAACTTTTAACTGGTACTGTAGGTCTCCATACAATAAACTTTATTTCTATAAACAAACTTGATCTCTTTTTTAACATAAGGATATCGTGTAACTAGACATGGAAAAACAACATTGCATAAACTAGAGCAACACAACTGCATTTTGCAGTAAACTGATCTTGGGGTAATAGTGTGAAAGTGCAGGACTGATGGTAATAAAATGAGACATTTCCTTGAATGTAGTGTTGCTTAAGAGAACAAAAACATCACAATGAAGAAACTTTTTGTGCAGACAATATGCTGCAAGTTTCAACACATCTGGGCTGCCAACCTCTGGAGGGACTTTAGTCATTTTGGAGAGGCTACATGCAAATTCATTCTTAAAATTAGTACTTACACAGCAACATTGTATGAAAAATAAAATTAGTTCATTGCCTTTAAAGACATTTGAACACAAAGACTTCTCTTGTAGTTGTGTATTAAATGATTTTATTTATGGTATTTATTTTAACCCTATAACAATCCAGGTAACCACACAATGTATTGAGTTAAGAAGTGACCGTTGTCTCTAGCAAATAAATATTGCGGATGGATTTTAATTGTCTATTTCAAGTCAGAGTGAACTCATTTTTAGCATTCATAACAAATTCATTCTTAGGCTGAGATGCCTCTGAAAATGTAGTAGCAAAGTTCATGGCAAATTTGTGCTGGGTATCTTGGGAAATTTCACAGATACAGAGGATCTCAGGCAGAAAACATGTAGCAATTTTCACAATATGCTCAATATTACTTAACTAAAATTGTATCAACATGTCTAAATGCAAATGTAATAATATATATACACAATCTGATCCCGATAACATGTGTGGGGTTCTGTATGGGTTAATATGATTCATCTGGATGATTTTCCTCTTTTAATGGTTTAAATCAGAATACAGGGGTAGGAAGGCAACCTCATAATTATAATTATTCCAAAATCTTATTCTTCTGCCTCAAAGCTTTTACTACGGCTGTAAAAGTTATAGATATATAGTATAGAATAGCATTCTGACTACCCCCCTCCCCTGAATTTGTCTGTAGAGATCATACATTCCTTCCATCAGCATGTGCTGTGACACAATTTCCTCTGACACAAGTTAGTTAGGACACAGGGGTGTAACGGTGCACAAAATTCAGGGTTCGATACAAAGCTCTGTTTCGGGTTCATAGTTCTGTGTAGTTTCAGTACCGCAGCGAAAGCACAATTTTTTTTTATTTTATTATAACTACCTTAGTTTTTTTCCATCAGGTCTGAATTTCCTGCAAAAAGCTCCTTAAATACCACAGATAAGTATGAACCACCCCAGTTTCTGCCTTGCTCCAGTCATTCCCACACTCAGATAATCAGTATGACTGACCATAGCCAGCATTAGCTGGCATTAGCCACAATTAGCATAATGCTTCCATGCTGAATTTAAGTTCCACATTCCGTGTATAGCAAAGTGTTTGTTCATTTTATAGTGCAAGGGACTTTATGGCCAGGTATTTCATAAAAGATGTTATGAATTTCGGTGGGGGCTACCCACTTAGTATGAATTTGATTAAACACTGCATGCTCCTTTAGTGAGAGCTCTTTGCTATGTGCAAATGCAATGTGTGTTGCATATACGTTACAGCCAGTAAACAACCTGTACCCACTCGGAAATGTGTGTTGGGGGGGCGGGGGGTCATGGAGACCATGTTGTCCTTGTGCACAAGCAAGACACATAAACGGCCTGATCATCATCATCATCTCATCTAAGATACATGGTTCTGTCTGCTGCCCGACCCAAAGGAAACATTAAAAAAAACAAACAACCTTTCCTTTTTATTTACATAGTAAAATGGATGGTCAGTTAAACACTGCTCAGCAAGCTGACTTACACCATGAATACTAGCACTTGTAGCATTTTTTTAAAAGATGTTTTCCCAATCATGACTACCACAATTCAATCCTCACTTTTAGACTAATTGTACCAAGCTTCAACGAAATTATGTACAAACAAACTTTCTTTCTAAGTGAATTTTGTCCTGTATTCATAGAACTTTTCACAAAGCCATATAAAATATTTCCTACACACGGTGCCTAACTTCCATGGCGTCCTGACGCACCAACCGAGCAACGCCTTACGCGGGTCATGCACCGATGCTGGCTGTGCTTTGACCAGTACCCCCATCGGTGAATCCAACCACAGGCGGGAACTTGAATTTTTCAAGACAACATGCCAGGTCACAGTGGAAATTCCCAGCTAGGAAAGAAGGCGGCTGTATTCAGAGAACACTGATGATTTTTTCACTCCATCCCAGATCCGAGCAGCATAGTGGAACCTGGCCAAGCCCAAAACACAAACTGGTTACTCTTCATGCAGTTTAATTTGTTGGTAATTGGTGCAGAGATATCTGTTATGAATACATTGTGATTATTCAAAGTATAGAATCAGTAAGGGATTATCAAAATAACAATATCAGTAAACAAAACATGAGAAAACAAAATCAAGATGTTATATCAGAATGATAAAGACAAAAGCTAATATGTAGCACTTAAGTATTTCTAATAAAGGCATCTAAAAGACAGCATGAAATGAAAGGCAAACCCAGTTTAAATGTGATTTGATGTAATGTCACCTAAGAGCATACCAAGTTCAAAATGAAGCATTTCGAAGAACTTCATCAGTGAGAAAAGTTTTCTGTGAAAGCATGGAGACTTCATGGCCGACCCTGACCTAGCAGTGTAGTTCCAAAACCTAGTCTACATAGGTTCCATCTAATTTCATGTAAATATGTATCAGTGTTACAGTGTCAGTGTAATTTAATTGGATTCACAGTATAAATTAAATTTTGCAAAATTTGTTTTCTTGAAAGTTATTTGGTGCTTTGTCCACTATACTAAAGCTCCTGCAGGAGCTGCATCTTACCAGTTCTTCTCAGTGAGGATGGTGTGAGACAGTTGGCAGCGGGACATGGCCAAGACCTGGCTGCGTAACTTGGAGGACAAGGAGGAGAAGCTGGGGTGTCCCCTGTACCCAGGGAGCAGGGAGAACAGCGGGACGGATGCAGAGCCTGGCAACACGAGCACAGGTACTTCCTGTTAGGCTGTCATCAGTAGCAGCCCATCAGATCTCAAGAAATGGGCAAGATTTGCTGACCTGCTCTGGTCAAAGCGTCCTCTCCCTCAGTTTCCAGCACTGGCAACAGGAACAAGTTGACTTCTGTCTCCAGGTAGTCCCGCCCCAGGCCAGGGAAGATGTTACAGTCCAGCATGGACAGTGTGCCTGAGCAAACAGATCGCCAGCTCATAAATACATCCTACTGGTCACTCAACGCCATGCTTTTCCCAAACAACTTCACGAGAGTGCAGGATTACCCAGCAGCTCCAAACCTCAACCACAATACTCAAAAGGAGAAATTTCAGTATGGCTACCTGAAGACAACCTACCGAGTTCTGCCACTGAACAATCAAGACCAACCACTATAAGTGCAGACACACGTGCATGGAACCGCTCCGGGTACACACTGCTTTACCCCACCTTTATACTTCAGGTGAGAGTGCGCCATCAACTTGTCCACCACAGCGTGCATCTTCTTTAGGTTCTTGGGACAAAATTCCTCCCTCCTGGCCTTGTTCTGCAGGAACACTGCAAAAATCATGAAAAACATAAACAGATACATACATGAAAAGTGCAAACATATATACAGAATATCAACGGCCCACTTACCAATGTGAGGGTAGTACTCCGAGCCCTCGTCGGAGCCTGCAGAGCCGGCACTGTCATGACTGGCGGACGGGGTGGAGGGCTTCAGCATCTCAGCGGTCTGGAGGAACCTGGAGGGGCATCGCACTCAGGTCTACTCGGAGAAACTGCTTTACAAGTGCTTATGTCTCTGACACGTGCTGAGGTTAAGCAGTATTATTTGTATCCTCATGTAAAGTTATTTGCCACATGAACTGCCAGCAACCACAGGGCCATGAGAAAGTATTTGCTCCCAGCTCCCGATTTCCCTGTTTATCGCTTTTCTGTCACACTGAACGGCTCAAGACAAAAGGTAATACTTGATGTAGGGAACCTGCGTAAATGCATAATGTAATGTGTACACTTGTCTATAGAACAAAAGTTATGAAACACATTTAGGAACTTGTCCCTGAAGAGAAGCCTTAAGCGTGTTAGAGATTAGATTAGATTCAACTTTATTGTCATTGTACAGGTACAATGAAATGCAGTTTAGCATTTAACCAGGAAGTTAGATGTTAACCTGATTTATAACCTGAATGGTGCAATTCCCATTACTGTTATCTTTAACATCACACTCTCAAGCGGTAAAACTAACTCATCAAAAATATGTAACTAATTGCAAACACCCAACTGAAATCTAAGAATTTTAGCCAATTAACTAATAAAAATATTTGAATGGATTTTTTTGCCACAAGATTTATGACTCATGAGGTGTCTAAAAAACAATACAGTACTCCTAAGTGTATTGGGTGTTTTGCCAAATACCTGTAGATATTGATATCAGTGAACCAGTCCTGAACCACAATGACAACATGGCACACAGTGAAGAGGAAGGCAGCTACCTGCAAAGACTGAAGATAGAAAAAAAACTGCTATAAGAGGTACAAATTTTGGACTTTGCAGTTGTTTTTTGAATTCAGGAAATACAAAGGCTACCAACAGATCCAGTTAAACAAGTATGTACACACACACTCGCACAGCTGTCCTTGCAAAATACTGTAAACATTTCTTTATCAAACCAAAACAAATTAGCAGTAGCCTTATAAATTTAAATACATCCACCAAATTAAAACATTACCTAATGTGCAAAATGGAACATTCATTTAATGCTTCCAGTTCATAATCTAAAACAAAGGGCACATTGCATTACATTTTGGAATGGGGTGGGGTGTCATTTTTACGTGCCAGCTGCACCCTCCCTGAGACAATACAGGCAGCCAAGTGCGTGTACAGCAGCGGTCTCCAACTCCGGTCCTGGAGAGCTACCGTCCAGTAGGTTTTCTATCCTACCTGGCTTCTGATGAGCCATACCTGTTCTCAGGTAAATACCAGGAACAGGTGTGGCTCATCAGAAGCCAAGTAGGATAGAAAACCTACTGGATAGTAGCTCTCCAGGAGACCCCTGATGTATAGGGATGAACTGCAATGCAACTGAATGGCAAGAAATGAAGCACAAGGGTATGGGAGGTATTTTCTGCAAAAAAAATAAAAAGAAAATGAAAATTATAAAATGAAAATACAATCTCCACTCAGATGTGGAAAAATTCAAAAATAAAATTAAATAACCTTTTTGTCTTAATTTTGCAATTTGACTTTTCGTTTCCTACTTTCCTTTTTCATTTTCAAGTTTATTTGTTAATTGGAGTGGGCAGGGGGTGGAGCCATGGATCACAGCTGTGTTTTCTCAGTGCAGTAGTGGATTCCGTTGTCATTATGTTTCTTGTACATGGTCACCCGTGTCACCCAAACTAATGGCAAAGTCACATACAGCTTAATTTAGCTACTTATTTGCAGCTTTCGATTTATGTAGCTTCTTATTCGCAGTTTTACTAGAAGGGAAGATTTGCGCGGCACCTGCTGCAGTTTTTACGTAAAACATCTTGGAAATACAAAATAACGTATGAATACACGGTTTAAGCTGTAGCACGTGTATTTATCATGTGAATTCCTTCTAAGAATTCCACAAGTTACAAATTAACCCTGTAATTAAAATAGTGGAATTACCCAGGCATAATAGATGATATTTCTGTCATAACATTAAACTGGTCATGTGACATTTTGAGCAAGTGTACACATTGATTTGAATGAGCTACATTTCCAAATGGAATGTGAAGGGCATATTTATCTTGGGTAGGGCAAATATGAAATGCATAGAACACAGCAGGCATGTATGCCACTGTAAGGACACTGAAATTAGCCTGGGCTAGATAGGTGTTATAGGCTACCTGGCTGAAAACATGGCAGTCTGGGCAATTTTAATTTCAGTGTTTCCTTACAATGGCATGCCTGCAAAAATGTGTGTGCTACTGCTTAAAAATTCTATTCATATTTTCAAAATGTCTTAAATATAAACTGTGTAGCATGTGCAAACACTCCCCTCTAGGGAACCTGGGAATAACTTAAGCTGTGAACCACGCTACGAATAAGAAGCCAAATCAATCAGAAGCTGCAAATGAGTAGCTAAGTTAAGCCACGTGTGACTTTACCATTAGCTGGGGTGACATGGGCAACCGTGCGCAAGGAACACAAGGACAACAGAATCCATAAACACACTGAGAAAACACAGCTGTTATCCATAGCTCTACCCACTGCCCGCTCCAATCAACATATATTAGCATGTTATGAACTTGAAAATGAAAAAGCAAAGTAGGAAATGAAAAGTCAAATTGGAAAATGAAAGGCTATTTTATTTTTCACATCTGACTCATGCATGAGTGGAAAATTAAAATGCAAATGGTGCCATTTCATTTTATTTTTAATTCTGGCAGGATTTTTGTGCATAGACTTGTGCATTGTGAAAACTAAATGGCAAAGTGGAGATTGTATTTTCATTTTATTTTTTACAGAAAATACCTCCCATACGAGGGAAGGTCTGAACATCAAAACGGCCCAGAGAGGGAAAGCTGGCGTGATGCTCCACCACATCTCTCCCAAAAGTGCTGAACACGTTTCATGCTCTCTTGGAGGCAAACAACTCTGCCCGCCCAGACAGCTGCATGCCGCCAATGACCTCTCCACGCTGTCAGTCTCCGTGGATGAAGTGCGCAACAAGCTACAACGAGAAAATCCTCACCAGGCTACTGGCCTGGACAGCATCCCTGGGCAGGGTCGCAGAGTGTGCTTGGATCGGCTGGTGGTAATGTTCACAGACTCCCTCACCCAGTCTGCTGTCCCTGCTTACTTCAAGATATCCACCATTGTCCCTGTACAAAGCCACCCCAGCCACGCTCTGCTCAACTTGCTACTGCCCCATGCAGGCCGCATACACCAGACAGTGCTGGAGAAAACCCCCTAAAATCATCAGGGAGTGCAGTCACCCAGCCATGCTCTGTTCACTCTGCTACTGCCCCCTGCTGGTGAAGCACTGACCTGCATTTCCACATAAGTGTGAGGGAGGTTGTACTCAGGTGGTAGCTTGCGGTCGTTGTTAATGAGATGATCCAAAATAGAAGGACTCAAAATAGGCTGTAGGCAAAAGGCAGTCCAAGTTAATTAAATTATGATACTGGTACAGGTTTGGGTATTTATAATTAGATTTATTAAGCACAAGGCACAAAAAAAAGTATTCAGAGCACAATGGGTCAGAGTGTAAAGTCAGCCAGCATCCAGTAACCCTAGAGCAGGTAGGGTTACTCAAGGATCTGAGATTTTAATTAATGAATGAATGAATGTTACCTTCGTATGGCGCTTTTCAAGATACCCAAAGCACTTTACAGAACCAATGAGGAGTCACTTCAACCACCACTGTGTATCATCTACATGGATGATACGACGGGAGCCATTCTGCACCAGTATGCTCACCACACAGTAGCTAGGGTGGTGAAGGGGCAGGGGAGAATTCATCGATCAGAGAGGGGATGATTAGGTCGTCAGATCTGATAGGGCCACAGTGGGCAATTTTAGCCAGGACAGGAGGGTACCCGCCCTACTCTTTCAAAAGATACCCTAGGATCATTTATGACCTCAGAGAAACCCAGCTTTCCTAGTTGGTCTCCCATCTAAATACAGACCAGGCCCAAACCTGCTTAACTTCAGGAGGATTACCTAGTCTGAACTGCAGGAGGTATGGCCACTGATATTGGCCTTGGGATTTGAACCCATATCCCTTTGGACACAGGCTCACTAACCTACTGAGTGGGGTGATGTGTGGGTCAGGGGGTTAGTCTTCAGTTCCTGTGATATGAAGGTTGCCTGTTTGAGCCTTGGCAGAACAGTTTCCATTGGGTCCCTGAGCAAAGCTTGAAACTCCCAGAAAGGCTCCCAGGCGACGGATAAATGGCCTGACTTTGTACTCGGAAACCAGGCATCACTCACAACTGTATCAGTGTGTGTGTGTGTGTGTGTGTGTGTGTGTGTGTGTGTGCGCCTCTCATAGGTCAACAAGATGATATATATATAAAAAGAAGCATTCCAATGTACCTGTACTCATACTTGTGCAAATGGCCTATAAAGGATCACTATATTTCAGCTACACAATGTCCCCATGAAACAGACAAGAGACAACTGTTGCTGTAGATAGCTTCGAACCTGTGTGTCCAGGAAGATCACGCTCTCCTGGGTGATGTAGAAGTCAATCCCACTGCTCTGGTTGCCTCCCCTTTCTTTGATCTCCTGACTCTGTGCCCTGAATACATATGCCCTAAAAACAACATTACAACTTTATGTTTGTATTGTACTATCTACACTTAACACACAGTATCATGAAAAAACACTCTCCAAAACGACACTTGTGGAATCGTGTGCTTCCATAGTGCTGTGGCATCCTGATTAATTAACCAGTGTCCTATCATGCTTCAGGACACGTATAACAATGCTACATGAGCCTTGTTACTCTTTTTTCCTAAGGTGGCATGAAGTACAGATCGGAACAGGAGGACAGACCACGGAACTACCCAATTGTAGACAGAATTACCTTGGATCATCTTCAGGTAAGTTGGCAGAGAGCAGCGACATGACTGTGGATTTGCCGGTTCCCTGGAGCCCGATAACACCCACCACCAGCATGTCTGTCTGGTCCCGCAGATACTGTGGAGCAGACGCCATAAAAAGTTACCCCACCTACATGAATCATTAACCGAATGCATAACACAGGGCACACACGAGATTTTCAGCTACTTAAAGCTTATGTACAACTTAAGCAGGTAGGTATGATGCTTAATTCAGTATATACTCATTTTAAAACAGCTTTTTGGTAAAAACTATATCTTTTACAGTTTCAGAATATAATTAACTTCTAATCTGCTTAATTAGTCAAAAGCATTTAGTAGGCCATTAAACTGTACTGTGAAAACAGCATTATTACTTCAGAAGGTATGACTTTCATCCATTCATTTTCCATACCTGCTTGTTGTAGGGCATCCGGAGCCTATCCCAGAAGCTACAGGCGCAAGGCAGGGTATAACCCAGGATGGGGCACCAACCCATTGAAGGGCACACTCACACACCATTCACTCACACACAGACATAGGCAATGTGGTAACTCTGATCACCCTCAGCATGTTTTTGGACAGTGGGGGGAAACCAGAGTATCCGGAGGAAACCCCATGGCGACACATGGAGCCATGGTGGAGACTCGAACCCTGGCCTCAGATGTGTGAGGAAACGGTGCTGATCACTGCACCACTATACTATTTCATATGTATCTGGGTAGCATATGAGATAAACATCACATTTCTTACCAAGTCGACCATGTCACTAAAAACTATTATCAGCATAAGCAGCAGACTCAGTTAGCATGTTCCTTTACCTCCATAGCACTGTCACACCAGTTCATCTGATCATCCACAAGCTTAATACTGTGCTTCATTTTCTCTGGCGGCAGAAGCTTGGTTTGACCAATCACAGCTGTTTTTTAAAAGAAATAACAATTCAAGGTCTTACACCGTCATTTGTTACTTTAGCAATTATGGACATTGTCAAGAAAATGACTAATATGCAGAACAATTTAAAGAAACATTCATTATTCAAAACACAAACCTAAGTCACTAAGTTATAATTATTTATAGGAGTAATTCAAGTTAGGCAGCTTGTCCAAGAAATATTGCACATGTTTTTAAACATTATGGAACCCCATACTTCAGGTAATTTATATAGCTTCATTTACAGAGCCTTTACCAAAGTAATTCCAAAAGAAAATGGATGCACAGTGTGCAGGATGTTACAGTCTGGGATGTTTAATAAACAACAACTTAAAAATGCCATAAATATCAGTTATCGTAGAAACTCACGGTCTACTACACTACTGGAAGCAGCTGGTCCCATGCCTCGATTCTGGATTTGGTATACAGGCTGGGTGGGTCTCTGTCCCTCTCTCTCCAATTTAACGGCTCCTAGGCCAGGAGCTGAGGGGACCAAATCAGGGGATGTTCCCGGTTTTCCTCCATCATCCCGTGTCTTAATCAGCATGATAGGCTTCTCTAAAGATGGAGGGCCGCCGGGGGCAGTTGGCGTCGGCTTAGTCTGAAACAAAAGCAAGCACTGAAATAGCAGCTGTGTGCTCATCCATGCAAAATTCTCTGTACACCAATCAGTTTTTGCATCATAATTTACTCTGGTGCCTTGTGTTAGAATAGAAATCACCTGTCAATGACTCACTGTTAAGAGTATTACTGAGACTATTACTGCTGATGGTCAATGAAATTAAATTACCAAACCTTTTCACAATCACTGAAAGCAAGTGCATGGTTAGAGATTGCCCACTTTACCCTCTCCCCTGGAGGTTTTGCTAGGATAATAGGAGTCTTTTGCAGAAGAGGACCAGGTGGCTCCACACTACCATCCTGCAGAGAATAAAATAAACACTTTATTATTACATTACCTATTAGGTAAACATTGAAGCAGGGGTACCCTTACCAAAACCGATCGATCTTAGTAACGAACAGGATAACGAATGATGTAGGTAAAGAACCAGTAAGACCCGCAAGTATTTCCCGAAACCCTTTATTATTCCAGAATTAACAAACAAACTTTAAGTAGTACTTTGTTGGCTTCTCCTCTGCCTTCATTTAAGAAAAGCACAGACTGTCGATAACAGAAACATCGATCCCACATATTTCAATGGTGAAATATATGTTACATGATTGTCCTACCACAACTTTGCAAATGTTTAAAAAAATCATAAACTAATCAAAAATGCACCAAAGCAACCAAAATTTAGACCAAAATATAAAATATTTGAAAATATAAAATGTGATGCTGCTTCCTTGTACAAAAAAGTGCAATGGCAAGCAGCAATAGGAAAAGGAAGGAACACTTCTCAAAAGAAGCCTTAAAACAACTTATGAAGGAGGTGGCCAAAAATATAGTTTAATAAAATAATTACTGCAGTGTTATGCAGCATAGCACACACAACAAAAAATGCATAGCAGCATTCATGGGAAAATCTTACAGCTCCCAAGGAATTGTGTAGGCACCAGGATCACATCTTCCACATGCTCAAAGCACCCTCTACAGCAGGGTGTGTCTTTGGTGTGTGGTGTTATATCTCTCCTCAGCCACGGTTTGGGGATTCAACACTGGAATTAGCAGGTATTCGCTAAGATGATATCTGCTGTCTCCCAATAACCAGCCACCAGCAAACACACGATCCTTTGCCATCACACACACTTCAAAGCTGATATAAGCATCATATGTACTCCTTGGTAACAATGTCTGTCAAAAGTCCTTGATGGCTAGACATCACCTGGACTTTTATGCGTAGTGCCAAGAACCCCTTTCAGCAGGTGCAGATGGGATTCAAGAGGCTGTGAGTATGAATGGGGTGGAGGGTTCCAATCCACTGCACCTACAATACCAAGTATGCCTACAATGGCATGAAAGCCAATTTTAGTGTCATGCAAGGCATCCCCTCCTGTTGGACATTGTATGTAGTTGTGCACATGGCATTACTTACTCATAGGAGTAGAAAAGCGCTATATAAATGCAGTCCATTTAGCATTAGAGAAGTGTAATCAATGCACAGATGCAGGACACAGCAGCCTTGCTGAGGCCATGTGCATCTGTAGGTCTGCAGGAACCCACCAGTAGCATTGAAAGAGAGAGCTGTCAGAAGCTGCACGGTGCATTGAGGGCAAAATTCCGTTGCGTTCCTTTTATCAATTTATCCTGCACCAGACCAAGGAGGCTCATTATTTCACCCCAAGCCAGTCTGTACTTCTCTAAGAATTGTTCATTACTGAGATGGTCCAAGGGGTTCATGGCCACCTGCAAAACAGCACTTAAGACAAGCAGCTTGGCTTCCTGGACGGTGCTGTCTCAAACGCTGTCTTCAATTGACTTGCACAGCAGACTCATGAATTGCTGGTCACAAGGGGTGATTTACCTTCCCAGTTCAAAGAATGTGACTGAACACATAGCAAGTGTGATTGGTCAGCTCATTATTTAGCCTACCGGCGTGGTTCAGAATTTATTAATTGTGCCCCATTACATTCATGAACTGGAATTTAAACTGAACTGGCTATACCCTCGAAGATGTTGAATTGGAATGCCAGTATGAATAATTTAATTAATTTCTTTTTAAAGCAATTCATTGCAATCACGCAACACAGCAATGTCATTTAATCTAGTAAAACAAATAATTACATAACAGATTTACTTTCAATATGGTAGATGTACATATTAACTTTATGTATACCTAGTGAGTGAAGTGAACTTTGTATTTGCATGATTGTAAGATAAAAATTGTGTAATTTAGCCTATTCTAACTATATAGGACCAGAATTCAGTGTGTGCTGTTTATGTTAACATGCTATGTAATTCATACTGAAATATTAAGCTGTATTGTTACAGGTGCACCTACACTGTATATGAATTACATTTTAATTCTACTTTATATTCAAATTAATTTTTCAAATCTGCACGGTGTTTTCAACCAATTGTTTTAACTTAATTTTATTTTCAAGGTCATTCTCAAGTTAATTCTAAATGGTACACAACCCTGTTATGTACTCCAACTGCATACAGGTGTTATACTAACGAGACCATTTTGCGCTAATTTATAGTCTACTTTAGTTTATATTGTAATATTGATCTCTTATCACATTATCAGCATTATTAGTTATTACGTTATCTAAATCAAATCGTCATGGTTTGCCATGAATTTCGGGCGATCTCTGTGTATGTGTGACAGGACATCAGGCAAAAGTTAAAATAATGAGCGACATAGAAAATAACGAGTTGTGGCAGTATTACTAACTACTTAAGCTACGAATGGTTTCAAGAAAAACTCGCTAATTAACGATTAATCTTAAGTGCTAGATACCGAACTACTTTGATTTACGAAGCTTTAGGGAAACGCACACCGGATCAGTAATTAACACTACAGGCAGAGGGGTCGGACAGTGCTTTTACATACCCTTCGCTCCCTGGGGACATACTCCCGCTCTCTACCTGGACCAGATAAATTCTGTCCTGGGGGTCCAGCCTCTCTGTCACGGCGTCGCCTTCTTCTCCGTCCCTGTCCGTAAATACCAGGCTGACTATGTCCGGACTCGGACATTATCTCCTCCACAGACAAAAAGAGAAATATACCTCGGTTAAAAAAACAAAGGCTATTAAATTTCTACAATATATCTAGAAACTGGACTGCGTGATATGTTATATCAATACTGTCTAAGTACGCACAACAGATGTCAATAAAATGTAAATAATTTTGTATAACTAATGAACTACATAACTCAGAGAAACGCGTTATTTCAATGTTCAATTACTATAATACATGCGGTATGAGAAACAAAATACAATTGGTAAGAAGACACTGTTTTTCAATATTTTATATTAGATAAAACTATCAAAGTATCACGTGCTCTCCATTACCTTCGCACTGTGATCTGAATTAACGTTTGTTTTACTCAGAGATTCTTCTCTGCTGAAAAAAACGAACGCCTTCCGTAAACGGTGCGCCACAATTTACTTCCGGATGGAAACAGAGGCTTCTCCTCCAAAGGGACTTCACAGCTGTTACACAATCATAAAATCTTTTAAAATGTCTAAAAAGTCGGGTCGTGGAACCAAAAGTCGAATTTGCGGATTTCCTGTATGTCAATGCAATTCCTGTTATCAATGCATAGGATCCAGATCAATAAATATAACGGTTCAAAATGCACATACTGTTAAAATGCACCGGTAAAACGATTTCAGAGATTCAAGGTAAACATACTCACGTGTATATTTAATATTTATTGTTAAATATAGTACTTTAAAATAATATCAAATATAAGTTATTGCTATTCTGTAATATTTATTACATACAACAGTATTAATGAGGACGTTTCAGAAATTAAATTGTACAATTGTTTTGGTAATGAAGATGCAAATCTTTTACTCAATGTATCCTTTTCTTAAATGTAATGGCAATAAGGAAAGCGAGCACAGCCTAAGTAGTTTTAGAAATGTTTAGAAACTACATACCAGTATAATAGAAATAGTAATAATACCAGTATATTATAATTACATTGTAAATGCTGACTTGGTTAGCTTGAAATAGCATTAATTGATTATAGGCAACTGTTTCACCACAATCCCTGCTGAAAAAAACAGCATAGACCTACATACCTGGTTGCCAGCATCACCAGCATATAATACATATTGATTTTATCAGCATATGCTGTGTTTTGATACTGGTGGACCAGCATCATTAATAAGATATTGCTGGTGGACCAGCACAGCTATGTTGGTCAATGCTGTTTTTTTCAGCAGGGATGACCCCACACTGCATACAGATCTCTTCTACAGATATTCATACCTCATCTGAGCCAACCAAACATCAGTTCTTTGGCTGCTCAACTCACCTTAGGCTGCAGAACACTGGGAAAACTCCACTAGGAGGACTCCACTGTTGGACCGAAATCACGGGACCTCTACTGTAGGGCCAGAAATCACATGACCTCCACATGATGCGATTGAAGAGAACTGTAGAAGAGTAGGCTGAACATGTGGATGGATAGCACCTTGTTTCCTTTAAAATTATGAAGATGGATATTTCTCATGGGTGCTGCTGCTCATAGGAAAAAGGTCCTGGTTTCGGTCCCTGGGCCGGGCATAAGACCTTTCTGTATGGAGTTCGTGTAGGCTTCCGCTGGGGGCTCCAGTTTCCTTCCACACTCCAAAAGTGTGTGCATTAGGTTAATTGGCAAATCTAAGTTGGCCCTGTGAGTGTGTGTGCCCTGCGGTGTCTTGGCGACTGCCCAGGGTTGGTTTCTGCCTGCATCCGATGTTCCCGGGATAGGCTCTGGTCCCCCTCGCGACCCCGGTTGGGATTAATCGGTTATAGTGATGGATGGATATTTCTCATAATATCTTACATAGAGCTGAGAATTTCGTACTGAAATAGCACAATTAAAATAGACTATTGACATCAAGCCATTCCCGATGTTGCATTAATATTACTGGCATAACAAATATATATTTTAAAAGATACGATTAAAGCCAGTTCCCAATGTTGCACTAACGTCATATCCAACACTATTGTGAAGGTTGTGTGATTTTGAGCCTCCTAGTGGAGGTACCACTTCCATTCCTGAAGTTTGCATAATGTCATGTCTGGGCAAGGTATGGAGGTCATGTAATTTCTGGCCCCACAGTGGAGGTCGTCCAGTGTGCGGCAGCCAGATCCCCTTGGGGAGCATCTAGGCAGAAGCATGGGATAACAACAAATATGGGACAAACTATATTTAACATTTGCAAACAAGCTCAAATAATAGACTTTAATCCTTTTCATCACGTTAAAATGTTGGTTAATATTGAGTTTTCCAACAAAAGACAAACCCATTTGGATATGCCTACTTATTTGCGAAAATTTTCTTGCTGCTGACATACATCATATATACATACTGTAGATCACAACTAAATGTCGAGGATCTCCAAGTGGCCGTCTCAAAAATCAAAGCCAGTCTGGACTTGTGCTGGAGTCACAGTGCCCTCCCATTTTACTTGGTAAGTTTAACGTTATTTAAATGCCAGGTCATTATAAAATTCTTTAACTATGGTTGTTAAACTATTCTGTTCTTTTAAGTTATCAAAGCGATGCATCCATTTATAACTTGGCCTACTGGTGCATATATTTGCCAAAATTTGCATACTTCAACCACTCAGAGGGAGTTGCGAACCTCTGGCACTGTTATTTTGTTGGTCATAGGCTGAAAAGTTTGGGGTTCATACTTAAGGCACGCCAACTGGGTAGGTGTTCTTGTCAGTGTAACTGCACTCCAGTAGTGATGTTGAGGAGTCAAGTTTTGTAGCCTGCCTCCTGGCTTTGGGATACTCCTCAAAACCTGAATATTCTTGGATGATTTTTTCAGAGAACCTGTTGCCTGCAAAAATCTACTTTCAGCAACAGGCTGGAGTTTTTGGGGTTCGGGAAAACTGAACTGTTTACATAGGGGATGGAGGTAACACCAACTGCTCAACCTGGGAGGCACTAGTGGTTTCTCCTTTTGAAATTCCTAAACGTACAGAAGTATGTGACTCTGTGGGCCACTGGGGAGGGCTGAATCCCTCATTGGGGCAATGCAGCTGCAAGCACAAATGGGATGACTGTGGGAGGGGGGCCATGACAGTCTTGGGGCGCTTTTCCACCGCACCAAATACCGTACTTTCGGTACTTCCATAAAGTACCAAAAGTATGGTACTTCTTTCGTGTTGGTTTTCCACTGGCGTAAAAACTGGTACCGGCGCCAAATGACATCATCAGTGACCGCCCCTGACTGACATCATCACAAAGAATGGCATGGTATTTCTTATTATGATCCTTCACTTTCCTGTAGTCCTGCTTAAGTTTTTTGATTTTCAAGTGGCATTGTTCTGTGTTTCGCGTGTGCCCCATTTCTTCCAAGTGGCTTGCTATTAGGGCAAATACTTTTTTATTTCGAGTCGTGCCATTCAAGTCCCGCTGGATCTGTTCATCCGACCATATGGCGATTAAAGCATGTGTTTCCAGTTTGTCCATCCTTCCATTTTTCTTTTTTTATATTTTTGTTTCTACTGCTTTTTATTTTGTTTCTCGCTGTTCGCTGTGTGTTTCAAAAGATGGAGGTTGTATTTTGTGTTTCAGCGGCAGGCTATTTGCATAACCAATCGACAGCAAATACGTTTGCAAGTCCTACCCCAAAGTACCGAAGTACCAAAGAAGTACCCCAGCTGGTTTGGCACTTTCGGTACTGGCACTTTCGGTACTGGAACTTTCGGTACTGGTACTCGACCAGAAGTCAATGGAAAAGAGAAAGTACAGAAAGTACCGTACCGAAAGTACCATACTTTGTGCGGTGGAAAAGTGCCCTTGAAAGGCAGTCCAGTGACCAGGCTGGTATGCTCTACCTAATTTTAATCTTTTTTTTCCCACAACCTTGAAAGTATGGAGTTAATTTTGCACCAAAAGTATTAATCAAAATTTTGAAAACCGCAAGCAAATTATTAAGTATCAGAATGAAAATATGTATTCCAAATATCAAAAAAGTCGAACAAAATCATTTTTTCCTTCTCTAATTCGTTTTGCTTCTGGAATGTTTTTCTTTGCTTTTGAATTTTTTTTTGCTTTTGGAATGCTTTTTTGCTTCTGACTTTTGGCGGACGGGCCTTAGCAGCTTACACGTCTATTGGTCAGCTGGAATTTGTAGTGAACACGCCTTTAACCATCTGAGCTCGCCCACTCCGTGACGCTTCAGAACATCGCAACATGGCCGGAAGCTCCGGAGCCAGTTTACAGCATGTAATTGCATTTTTGTAGTTCTATAATAGTGTACTTTTCGAAAGTCAAAAAAGCATTTCCTGTACGTCTGATACATTTAATTTTGTTTACTATAGGAAGAGCAGGGCAGTTTCATTTTTCTGTTTTGTTGGCAACAAAGTTGGTATTCTGGCAAATGAAGTCCTCCTGAGACAAGGAAATTAACACAGTATGAACTGTGCTTCAGCTAATCAATATCTGACTATTGATTAGCTCAGTAATGTGTTGATGCTGGGCTAGAATAAAATAGCAATCATGTGCAGGTTTTGTAAGCAGTAACAGTCAACCCAACTCCTTGCTATAACTGGTCACCTAGGCTACATTCACACTGCAGGCCTTAATGCTAAATTCTGATTTTCTGCTCAGATCGGATTTTTTGTTTGCCTGTTCACAATTACTGTTTTTAATGTGGTCAATATCAGATTTCAATGTGAACGGTTCACTATATTGAACTGGCCCGTGTGCGCACAAAACAACAAAGAGGGAATGACGCGCGTGCGCAAAAACAAAGGCGTCACTTTATTGATTTGAAAAGTGCCCGGTTATGATATGAGCCTTCCAGTTTTTCCTGAACAGATTTATCTCTCTAAATACTTATTAAATCCAGCACCTCACTGTCCCTCCACTGGCCAGCTTCTGTGCTCTCCTCCATGTTTGGCACTCTGACGGAGACATATGGTGACTTCCGCGTGTGCAGAATTGTGACGAACGTTGATTGAGAGTGACATATAAGTTGCATGAATTCTGATTTCTCTGAACAGACTGAGGTCGCATTGCAAAAAATTAGACCTGTATCCGATTTATAACCACATACTGAAGTGGTCTAAATCGGAATTGAAAAAATCGGATTCTATGTGACTTGTGCTGTTCACATTGTTATGAAAAAATGTGATCTGAGTCACATATGAGCAAAAAATCGGATTTGGGCCACATTTGTCCTGCAGTGTGAACGTAGCCCCAGGCTGCCATCTTCTGAGGGGTCCTCAACCTCCCCCACCCCCCGGCAATCTTGCCTAGGGCACCACATGGGTTTCAACCAGCTGACTGTAATCTGTTAACAAATTCACTTTTTTATTAGTCATCAATAGGAATGCAATTCTCTGTGTTACGTAAATGTATGTTTTGTAGTTTTTCAGTGCTGTGTGATGGTTTGGTATCCCATCCAAGGTGAACCCCAGGCTTCAGGCCCCCCTTTCCAATATAAGAGGCTGGAAAATTGATGGTTGCAGTTTGGCAGCCTTTGGTACAGGTTTACATAGCTAGAAGCAAGAATGCACATGTGGTATTTTGACTTTCATTTTGGGGGGGGGGGGGGGTGGTTCCAAACCATATGTATTCCCTGTCCCAGGAATATAATAAGTGGTGTTTTTTGACAGATGACACTAAGCTTTTAGAGAAAGGTCTTTTAAATCCATATGGGCACAAGTGCTCCAGAATAGGTAGCATAGATAGCTTATTAAACATTTTATTTCAATTCATTAAAATTTTATTTGTACGGCACATTTTCACAACATTACATTGTCTCAAAGCGTTTTGCATTATCCCTACCCAAGGCCCCCAGTGAGCAAACCAGAGGTGACAGTGGCAAGGAAAAACTCCCTAAAATGAAGAAACCTTTGGAGGAACCAGACTCAGGGGGGAGCCCGTCCTCCAGGGGGTGGCAGAGGAAGTCAAATGAGCAAGATGGCCAAGTCCCAATTCACACTGTCTCAATTTTAAAATTTGAGTCTCAAAGCGGAGGGCGGGCAGGCAGGTAACTGTCTTGTGCCCTGGGCTGCCAGGGATAGGCTCTGGATTCCCTGGCAACCCTCTCTAGGATAAGTAGATGGATGGATGGATGGATGGATGGATTGAAATAATTACTATCATCATACACTTAAACTTATGTTGCAAATGAATTTATTTTCTTCCTCATATAATAACTACTTTTGCTTTTAAGACTATAGAGTAGATGAAGCAGAGCACTCTGGCATTTTCCATCAGGGATCAACCTGTTGAACATTTCAGCAACTTTTACGTCACCATCATGCAGCACACTAACTGTTGTTACTGTCATTAGCTTCAAGCAACAAATTTGAAGTTATCAATTTAGTGCTCTGGAAAGGAAATATCTGTAGACCATTTATTATACCACATATATTTAAACTAATTAAAATTCAAGTATTTATATTTGGTCCTAAAATACCAATATAAATAAGCATTCACTTGGTGGGGGTGGAACTTAGGAAGACAAAAGTACTGGATTGGCTGCTACCGTCCTATCATAAAGTAAAGAAAACGTCTGCCTTGGAACGCTGGGAATTGTATGCTTCCAGATGACTCCGCCTCTTCCTCTTGCACCGGAAGAGGAGGAGAGAACAGGAAGATTAAAAAAACAATAAGTCTTTGACGTCTATTTTTAAAATTCCCGAGGTAATGTTTTGATCAAGAATGATTTATTTTGAACAGTTATGAGGAAATATCGCCAAGGACACACTAGAACCGATAATTTAGTAAAATGTTTTCTAAATGTATCAGACCAGTACCATTCATTTGCCGCACGCCGTACCAACGCTGCCCCACGTCAATGAACGCAAAAAGCGTAAGGTCTGTTTAAGAAAGATCAACCTTCGCGACATGTCATTGAATTTCCCGTGTCCTGCCCGTGGACGTGTGTTTTTATGTTTATTGTGGTACAGATGCGTGTGCCTTGACTAAACAACGTGCAGTTTAGAATCGGATTACCTTGACACTGGCTTCTTGGCGGTATGGCACAAGCATGGTACGATCACTTAACGTGATTACTTTTGCTAGTACTAGTTGGGGGCACAATTCGCTAGATTCTGATCAAATTAATCCTCTCCTTGGATTCAGTTTTAAATTTGGATTCATGCAGTACTATGCGGCACAGTCGACTGGCTCTGGTATCTGGTGTTTGTAGGAGGCGCGTTACGGAGTTGAACGTTTTCCTGGCTAGTTGCATTCGGCTAAGAAAATAGTTATAAGGGAAATTTTATATAACTTATTCTAAGGGAGAAATGCAATTTTATCAATAAATAATCTGGTTCGATGTTGGACATTTTGTTTTAGCACTGTTTAGTGGTGGTTTTTAATAATGTAGATGTTTCTTGCTGTATTTCTTGTCTTGTGCAGGAGTGTGTATGTCACAAGTGGAAATGCGAAACCCTGCAGGTAAATCATACGAATGCGCTGTAATATAGAGTAATGCGTTCAGAACACGCTTATACTATAGTCATGCGTATCTATACACAAGTCAAATGACATGAAACCATAAAATGTTTCTTATTTAATATTTGATTTTTCTCAGTTCAGTGTCCTCCCCTAATTTGTCCTTTAGATTCTTGCATAATGCCAGTGTGTGCTTCAGTGAGGATGCCTACATATATGTTTCAGTGATACTCAGGAGAGCGCTACCATATTACCAAAATGTAATATTACAATATTACATTTTAATGCAAATACCTTTTGTGTCCAATGACAGTTTTCCGTGCACTACCGTAATTGGATATGGAGGAGGAAAAGGAGCGTACATCATAAGGAGAGAAATAGAAGAATTACCCTTTTTGCTTGACTAGAACACACTGGTAAGGTTATATTTTGCATGTCAGATATACACTCACCTAAAGGATTATTAGGAACACCATACTAATACGGTGTTTGACCCCCTTTCGCCTTCAGAACTGCCTTAATTCTAC